TGTAGATAATGAGGACATACTATGTAGATGTGCATATCGACAGGAAATTATGATTCAATTTTTTTTTCTGATACAATTTTTTTTTCTTACACTTATTTTATTTCAATGACAATGTGGGGATGTGGGGTATGTGAGTGCGCTCACTAAGGTTCTTTCATTAGATCTTACATTCACTAGTGGTAGCTACAATTAGGAAAATTCTGTGCAAACTATTTTAAAAAATCTGTAAACCCACTTTTCAAATCTGATACAAACCTGGCCTAAATAATCAGTTAGTATTCCATTTGGTTATACAACTGACAAAGGTACTATATAAAAATAATGTGATGTGGTATGATTGTCAATGAGATAACTATTCTCCAGAGACCAAAGGACATGGATGAATGCAACTATTAAAGGACTTGATATGACAAAATGAAACAGTTAAAAGAGAAAACCTTATTTATGGCAAAATAGTAAACTAAAAACAAATATGGCGGACAGTAACCAGCAACAACTGAATTACAGGCTACTGACTTTGGATAGACACATAAAGAATATAGTGTCCCCAAACCTGGGACACTGGTGTAATAGAACATAAGAACAAACTATACATCAGTTGGAAATGGCTTGTTTCATTAGTTCTTCACAAAGTACTGATCAAAGTCTAAAAGTGTTGGATGTAGTGGGTTCAAACCACTGCCAGGTCAAACCAAAGACTTTAAAATTGGCATTTGCTGTTTCTTTGCTAAGCACACAGCATTAAGGAGTAAGAGCAAAGACTGGTTGTCTCCAAGTTAGAATAAATTGTGTGGGTAGGTTGACCTGTCTTCCTGCGGACTGTTACCTTGTGAACTAGCCCATTAAAAAATCCAGCTCGGCATGTCAGTCTAGTATAAAGCAGGGTTCATATTCATATATAATTACTTTAACATGTTCTATTCCTAAATATGCATTTCATTTGCCACTGTACGTTAACCAGCCATACTTTCATCCCTCCATCTTAAGAAGCACCTGTCATTCTTTGCTGGGCTTCAGCTTAAAAGATGGTTTTATGGTCTTTTTTGTGATTAATGTTGCAGAATGCAAGGTGTAGGTATGCTTAATTAAAAAAAACACCTGACATATGTTAGTTGTTTTGAACTTTATTAAGAATCAGTGACTTACTTTAGTCAATGTTTGGATAGTTTAATTAGGTCAGTGTCTCTCTTGTTTAGGGTAATGTGTCAATTTTTTCTGTAACCGTAAGTTATGGGTCAATATTTAGTCTAAAGAATCATAGTAAGGTGCATATATCAAATGGGGTCAATTGACGGTTCACTGATCACAGAAGTTTTGTTCTATGCTGATTTTAAAGCAGACTTTAGTGAACTGTTTTATGTCAGTACTATACTATTATTATAACCTGTAACCTGCAAGACTTCTATTTGAACCCCCTTTAATTACCTGTGTATTTTGCTTATTCGATTAACAAGGGGAAGTTCAATTGGAAGTAACCATTAATTTATTTTTCTTTTATTATGATACAAGTATTTCTGCCAATACCATGGTTTAGAGGCACTTGGGACATGACCTCCCTTTTCTTTCTTTTTTCAGGGTTATAAATTGTTTATGAAATTTTCTTTAATGTTCCATTTAATTTTCACTAATTTAATGTTTTCATGCTTTTGTCTATACAATCTAACAATGACAGTTTACATGTGCTGCCCCTCTATTCTCAAGTGGAAAATAAGAATAAATGGACAGCATCCATAAACTACTATTATTGTTGCATATGGATAAGTGCAAAATCAGATTAAATAAGTTAAAATATTCAAAAAAGGTCTGCCAAAAATCTTAACAGAAAAAAGAAAAGAAATAGTGGGATCCTTGATCCAAACACTCTTTCAAATCAAAAACACTGGTAACTTTTAAACAGATCTTGGTTTACTTGATGTTTCTTCAAATTCCTATGGTTATGTTTCTTCAAATTCCCATGTTTCTGACCACCATAGTTGGTTCACTGAGGACGGAAATGTGATGGTGAGAGCTGTATATGGTTTACCCTGTGATCCTCATTCTTGGCTCACTTTTCGACAGTAGATCCAAAGTAGAGAATGGGTCATGATGCCAGGCTAGATATGGTTTCCTAAGTACAAATATTCTTGTTTATCCTTGAGAAAACTTAGAGTTTGAAAGGTAAAAGCTTCGGTGGAATTTTACTCTTAATTATGAACGGCCTAATTAGATACAAGTATCTTGTCTTAGGGAGGGATAAATCGTACTTTGTGAAAAATCACTCTGATTCTAACAAAAAATTCTCTGAAAATGACATTAAGATGCTTGATTTCTTGATTGACAACATATTTGTTACGTTTTGAGAACGTGTTTTTCAAAAAACAATCGGCATTCCAATGGGAACCAAATGTGCTCCTCTTGCCAACTTGTTCTTTAATTCATATGAGACTGACTTCATACAGGAACTTCTTAGGAAGAAAGTTACAGATACAGTTAAGTCTGCCTCGTATCTTGACTTACATCTAGAAATTGACAATGAGGGTCGGTTGAAAACAAAACTTTAAGACAAAAAAGACGATTTCAGCTTCCGAATTGTGAACTTTCCATTTCTATGTAGCAACATCCCAGAAGCGCCTTTGCATACGGAGTATATATCTCCGAATTGATACGATATTCCAGGGCTTGTATTTCTTATCATGATTTCCTCTATTAGTGTTGCTGCTTACAAAGAAGCTATTAAACCAAGAGTTCCAAGTGGTAAAGTTTAAAACATCCCTTCATATATTTTTACGGATGCCATCAGAGTTGGTTTAACAGATGACAATGGATATGTTCCAAATGTAATTACAATCCCGTTCCCCTTTCCTCGAATGTGACCTACCGATTTAGACTTATCATCGGGTTTGTACTATTATGAGCAACACGACAGGTGGAGCAGGATCTGCTTACCCTTCCGGAGCACATTACATCACCTCCAGTGTTGGTGGGGTTAGTGTTGCTCATTTTTTAGTTTTCTATGTTGTGTTTTGTGTACTGTTGTTTGTCTGTTTGTCTTTTTCTTTTTAGCCATGGCGTTGTCAGTTTATTTTGGCCTGACTTGTGAGTTTAAATGTCCCTTTGGTATCTTTCGCCTCTCCTTTACTAAGGTTGCACTTAAAATATTTTTTTTTAATTTCCAGAAGGTTGCACAGTTAACAAAACAGTTAATCCGCCCCGTGGCCATCTAATCTACATATAAGAAAACACAATTTTTAAAAGATAATAATACATAAACAAAAGGGTAATAAAAAGCAAAACCATACTACACTGCATACAAGAGCACATATATAGTACAGGTAGACAAATACCATTGACTTAAATAAAAATATTTATAGTAAAATTGTTTAATACCTTAAAACTGCGGAAAATTTTTTTTTTGTATTTTCAAGCGATAAGCTTGAAATTTTGTTTTAAAAACATTTATACTTTTACTTTCTTTCAAAGTCAAAGGCAATGGATCCACAACAAGGTTTCAGAATACATAAATGTTCTTTTACTATAATTAGTTTCATATCGTTGAACAAATATATTATTTTGGGAAGATGATCTTAATGCGTAGTTATTAACAACTGACTTGTATGCAATTACATATTGTTCTTGTTGTATTATGTTTTAACATTTCATTGTGCATTTTTATTACTTGACCTCATTAGAGGTGTCAAATATTTTAAAGATATCAGCGGGATATCCTCTAAACCAATCATCTTTAAATAAAATAACGTCTGACTTTTTTTATACAGATGACAGTTTATATAATGATTTAGAAACTAAAAGAATTTGAAGAAACATTTCCAGATATGCACATTAAGGGGGAGGTAACCTATATTCTTTACTTTCCCAATGTTGCTTGCATTGTTTCTGTTACAAAATGGACAGTATCGTCACTTTATCTTGATATTTGCAAAGCTTTTGAAAAACATCTCGCTTCCTCTGTCAATTGTAGGTCTAAAATTATTTAACTTAACAGCATGTGTCAAGATCCTATCTGACGTTCAAACCATATGTAATCAATCAACATGTATGCAGAATAAAGGGATCAAATTTGTTTGTTTTTTGTTTTTGTTTTTTTTTTTGTTTTATTCAAATATATAAAAAGAAAACATTGATCTGTGAGGACACTTATTTAATTTGTCTGCAGATTAAACTTAAAATACATGTATCTATCTCTTTGGGTAGTGATACATGCATATGTGAGCTATCATTTAGAACATATAATGACCCTCATAAAAAGCTTTCTTAAAAATTTACAAATGAAGTTTAGCTTGTAAATTTAATACATACATAAATATACATTTATGTGAGGAGAAAAAGTATAACAAAAATGCTGAATTCCAAGGCAAATTCAAAAAGGGGAAGTCCATAAAAACTGACAAAGTCAAACGCTACCAATAAAAGTCTCAGATAGCTAATTTCAAATGGTTAACTTTAAGATACATTTATGTGTATCATTGAAATAATTAGCATGTGCTTCTTTTTTGTAAGGTTAACGAAGCAGGGTTCTTGAAATATCACTGTCTGTATTGTAATAGTCTAAAGTAGAATTTCAATTTCGATCTTTGAATGATACTCGTCATGCAAGCATAGACAATGAAATACAAAATAAATAATTGGCCGCAGTGATCATTACAATTGATACTTTGACCTATGTCACATAGAAAATAGCACATGATACACCTGAAATATGCATGTACTTTTTTATCTTGGTAAAAGTTAGGCTATGTGAGGTGTTACCATCACAAGGCATCCGTTATTGTCGATTTCTGAATTATCTTATATGGTATCTAGAAAATGTTAAGGTTTGTATGTGTATTTTTTTATTTATTTGTTTATTTATTTATTTTTTTTTTGTTTTTTTTTTGCTATATTTATTCAGTAGGGTATCACAATCAACATGGCCACCATGGCATTACGTGGAATATAGGAAATCAGGGACGGTTCGAATTCCAGGCGGGGGGGGGGGGGGGGGGGGTCTTGGCGAGCGTGCCCCCCCCTAAAATTTGCAAAGCATGGGTTGTCTTCAGCTTAATAAAGAATATTTCGATAATTTTACCTCAAACAAATTTTAAGTTTGCCCCCCTAACCTAAAATCCTGGATCCGCCATTGGGAATAACATGCAGGTAATTTATCCCAAACTAAGTTTGGAGACTTATAATTGTGCTCAATTGTTGTTATTATGTCGCCAGCTTTCTTCTTTCATACCTGACCTTGTACGCAACAGTTTTCAAAAACTGAAAGTCTGACCTGCACAGAACGCGCATTATAAAAATATTTTCGTTTCAACGTCGAAATGACACTTGTCAATATTACTTCATTCTTGAATTTAACATACTTGATTTGTTAATTTTATCGGTTTCATTTGCATAGTCGCGAATGATTATAAGAAAGACAATGCATAGTGTTACTACTTAAATAATTTTGGTATCGATTTTTAATGTCCCTCTTGCTTACGTAACGTTAGAAATACACAATGAAAATTTTCAAAATTTAGTTTTTTTAAATTCATTAAAGTCAAATCAACCTATCTTTTGTTGTAGATCGATCGTTGTAAAATTTTGAAGATTTCCTAGGATATGCATAGAAAACATGTTTACCAATTTCCAAACCTTTCCGTGTTAAGGAAGCTAAAAACGCTCGCAGATTCATCGATCACTTTTAAGAGACGCAAAGAGATACGTGGAACTAATAACCTGAGAGTCCCAATCAAGGTCGTTTATATAGATCCAGATTACTGATATGATCAGATGTTTATTTCCCATATAAATCTTACCACGGAGAAAGGGAAAATTTAAAAGGTAGGCATGTAATTTTTAGTAAAGACGTATCCGGGTTTAAGGTCGATATTCAAGGCAATTATTCACTACCTGTTTCAGCAACTGCATACTTATTTATTTACCTTTGTAACACAATACCATTACAGCGTGAGCCGACTGGTCAGCAACGGACGCTTGTGTCAGAATGAAAAGTATTTTGTTTAGTTCACCATATGTGGATTTCATTTATTAAAATGATTTCCAGTCACAAAAATAATTCATTCATGAGTCAAACTGCTACTTTGACAATGTGTTATGATTACAAAAATTAATTTATATTTCGTTGTTTCTGAATAGACATCAATTGTGTCGTCATCTCTTTGACTTTTACTTTACATCATTCCTAATTGGATGTACGGTTCTTATTAAACATATAACTTTCAGATTACAAGATGAAGACACTGTTTATTGCCATCTGTATTTTCTGTGTGACATTGGCAACATTAGTACATGGGTCAACGACTCCAGCCCCCACCGAAGACACTCATAATAGTGGTAATTAAATTAATGTATATCAAGTTAGCGTCAAAATGTTTTGAGGGATTACAATGCTATTTTATCTTTTTCTTTTAGGCGCATTATTTCATTTAAAAAGAAAATTTCTAATGCATACCTCATTGTTTAAATGTTTTGCCCAGAGTAACGTTTTCGTCCGCCGAGTGTCTATGAATAAGAAATTTGCGGTAAACACTATCAATCCAACGAACGGTTCTTAAAGTGAACACATAGGGATCACACCATCACTTTAGTAGTGATAAAGATTAATCGCGCTTTTTATATAGCAAATTCTTAAATTGAGGTGGTGAAATGTGCAGGGGTTCTACAAAATAGTAAGAGATCTAAATTATCACATATCAACTCTTATATATTTTAAGAACAATTAAGATAAAGCATCGACAACCTTCTGAAAACGATCGATAGGTGGGACATGTTAAGCAATATGGCGTTGATAGAAAACAAGGGGGGGACAAGCCCTGTTGCCTTGGTCATTTACCGATCAATGAAGCAATAAAATTCGCAATGGCAACATCAACAAGCAAAACCTAACTGTGCCCTATAAGCTCGACACTTGAAAGTTGACAGCACAACAAAGTTTATGAAAGATTTAAAAGTATGGTGCAAAGTAAAACTTCTTTCTTGTATTCAGCACTCTGAAGCTCAAACCATGAGCACTAGTACTTCGGAAACAATTAAATATCACAAACCATAACATCGCAGACGAGATATTGAAACATGCCTGTAGAAAACATAATCAAAATGGGGAACACTTGGAAACAATATTATTTCCTAACGATAAAAAAAAAATATGACGATTTGACTCAGAAGCATGCCTATAACCTTTATACCAAGACTTATTTTTGGGTAAATGGAAGGACATCTATTAAATTTGCTTGCATTTGTATACAATGGTGCAACAAAACTGTGAAACTGGGACAACTTTAGCAGGTTATTTTTTTAAACCTGATATCCTACATGATCGGGTTTTATGCGTTCTTGTGAAAAAAATACTGAAGTGTTTTCAGAGGTCAATTAATCGTTTACGGTTAAAAAATGATTAATACTCATTTTCTTTTCTTTTCAGACTGCTTGCTGCCGACGACACCAGGACTTTGTAAGGGATATTTCCCGCGGTATTCGTTCCGGGCAAATACAAACACATGCGAGATGTTCGCCTATGGTGGCTGTGGTGGGAATGCCAACAATTTCCTAAACATAAAAGAGTGTCAGATAGCTTGTATACCAGTTAAATAACCATAAAGACACCCTTATAAAATCATGTGGCGATATAATTGTATTGCAGTAGCAGAGTAAAAACTATGAATTAAAAACAAAACTCAACCATTTTATGAATTCCTTGACAAAATTATTGCGCCGAATTGAAAATGAAAATAGACATAAATTTTATTTACCAAAATGTTAATCAAAGCAGTATTGTTATGTAAATAATATGATTATAAGAATTATTATACAGTTTTATTGTAAACAGAAATAGAACCTGACTGAGAGAACTTGACAACATAGTTAACAGTCTTGTACTGTAACAAACTCATACATAGTACGTTCAGCAAATAACGTACTAGTATAAAAAGAAGTTTTTTAGAACACAAACACGACAAGTACATATCTTAAATAAACTCATCATAGATACCATGGTTAAAACTTTTTACGCCAGACGCGCGTTTCGTCTTCAAAAGACGAATCAGTGACGCTCGAATCAAAAAATTTAAAAAGACCAAGGTCATATTTTCCTACACAAACATGAGCTACGTTGTACCACCAACAAATCGCGTACCCTATGCATGACAAAATTGCAAGCACATAAAATTAACCAAAATCATAAATTTGTGGTGTTCTTTGAGTGGATAAGTTCCTATCAATCTCAGGAAAATATATCTTTTCTACACATCAATGTCGGGTTTGAGATATTCTACTGCAGTAAAGTGTCGATTCACCAATTGTTAACGAGACAACAATAAACTGTCTATTATACATATCCTGATTTCTGCCAGTAAGTTCTTAGTTTGTCCATAACCAGACTAAATAATTAGAATAAAAAACGTTTGATAAACGTTCGCTTTCAACATAATAATTCATATAAAACGTGAGTTAGTGGATCATAGTATACCTCGTGACTTTTCCTGTATAGCATAATCATTAATTGCCATTTACAAGTCACCAAATAATTTTTAAATAGAACATAACATTTATTAAAACTACCTTAGATTTGTAACACTGTAAATTTAGTGTTACTCCGAGTTTGTCTTCTATGACCTTTTCAATTGATTTAGTCTGTAGTAAGGAACATGACTGATTATTTATTTAGTAAAATATAAATAAATGCGACATTAAATTTTGTGGAATCATTTCTAAATAGGTAAACTTTAAACAGACGGCGAATTTTTGTCATGGCTTTATGATAACGATTAATTGATAAAATGATGAAACTAGTTTTTTAAGTTGGAACCTTTAGGAACCCGTAGGAACCCATTCAGATAAGTTATACAAACAGTGCTTTGTAAACAGACTGGGTAAAAGATAATGTGACCAATCCGCTATCTCTGAAAGTACCGAGGTTCTCTACCGTGGCCCCTTCCATACCATTTAATTTCATGTATTATTATTCCCCTTAAACTATTCCTTTTAGATGACAGGTCCAATAATTTTGATCACGTTCCGCTTTATACTTTTAACAAAAGAAACCAAACGTTTCGTAAATATGCAGATCATCTATGACTTGTCCCTAAACTTGACTATATGCAAGATACCATAGAGACAACACGATAAAGCTGCATACTTCGACTTGCACATAAAAACCGACAGTGACATTTGGTTGCGAAATTAATTTTTTTAATGCTAGAATACAAAATTCCAGCAGCAGAAAATCTTTTTCAGTTGACTCTGATACGAATTTTTGCATGTTTATCAGGATAAATGCGTACAACGTTAAACGGTAGCAATTTTAATGCACCAGATATGCATTTTAATAAATAATGTCTTTTCGCTGAAGCTCGAGGCCAAAATGTTTGTAACGTGAGGGTACCCAAATTTTGACAGTTTTTTCACCTACGTTTATTTATGACCCAGATAAAAGTTTCCATTATGTGTTTATTTTGTAGATGTATTCTTACTTAGTATATAGTTCCCCCAATTTAATTTTGAATCCTAATCGAATCATAGAAAAATGGGTTAGAACCGACCTCCAAACGATCAATGATTCTGTTATGGGGACTGGAGTACCCAAATTGCACCCATGCTTAAGTTCGCTTCCTTAAAATTCGACTAAAAGATGCTTTGTTTTACTTCTTCAAATATTTAGAAAAATAATACATTAGTCCATGCTTTCTATTCATCTTTTAAGAAATAGATGCTCGTAACATATTTTATTTGCACATTTTTAAAAGATGACATTTTGTGGACGTCGCATGGCGACGTTTCCGTAGATTTTACTTTTTCCAGTGAACACTTCATCTGTTGATATATACTATAAACGTTTTGTGAATATTTAAATATATTTACCTATTTGAAAGACGTGCATAATGTCAAATAATAAAAAAAAATACAATTTGTTTAGTCCCTAAGAAAACTTGTAAGATTTTCGGTGCTATTTTTGCTTAATAGGTGCAATTTGGGTACTGTGACGTTACATGCAAAACCTAAAACAAATTTTGAACAGCTGATTTACCGGTAATTGGAAAGAACCAAACTGTCATAAATGCCAAACCCGGAAAGTGAATAAGAGTTATATACCAGTGAGATACATTCCTTAATTTCAAACGATTACCGAAGTTTTACTAAATTTTACTTAAAATAATATCCGTTTGTTCACGTCAGTACCAAAGCACTGAGCAACTGGGCTGGTGATACCCTCAGGATTCTAAGAGCAAACCAGCAGAGTTGAGTTCAATAGAAAGGCGGGGCTTCAGCTTGTATACATTGTACTAAATTTTGTTATTGGATGTTAAGTATAATGCAGAGTATAATGTATACAAGCTGAAACTCCGCCTATTCATTAATTGCAGATGCCAATCTTAATTACAATGCTTAAGCAATCATTTATACATGCAAAGCAAGCAAGTCAACCAAACCTTTAAACTACAAGCAGTAGGAAAAGATCCCTAAGGACTAGCGGAACCAAAGTAATTTTGTATCTGCCCCGAAAGACGATGCATGAGGGTCATGCATAGCTTTACTAAGAAAACAAATATACGATGAACATTTTCAAAAAAATCTACCAAATCATAGTTAGATTTTTGCCAACTGTACGACCACGTCGTCTATGAAATAATTTTAAATTCATTTAAAATTCTTTGAATGTAGAACGATCGTTGTAAGATATCCTCAAGTATGCATACACATCATTTCTATCAACTTTCAGATCTTTCAGTGTTTTAGAAGTCAATAACGATCTCAAATGTATCCCTTTAAAGCACAATAAACCAGAATTCATTTGGTTATGTTGTCGTTGAGTTGCTGTCATATTGACGTATACCCCACATATCCTTTTATTTATGACAAGGATTACGGGGGAAATGATGTCGTTTAAGAATTATCCATTGAAATTTGTCTATTGTGATTATGGTTGGATTATGGATGAAAACCTGTTGGTTTTAACTTTGACCTTTTATTTATCAAACTTATCGCAAATTAAGCACCTGGAACTGTTTGGGTAACCTAAAGGCAACTGTTTGAAGAATTCTTGGGCAACGTATATAGGCAACTGTTTGAAGAATGCTATTTTTTATTTGTATTTTTATTTCTTCAAAAAGAGCAAGATGGTTTTGTATATATATGTCTCTATAAGCATTCAATACGAATACTTTTAGAAACTTTAACGTAAATAATAAACTGAAATATTGTGAGTTTTAGCTTAGATGCATGCTTTTCCAGGAAATTATCCTGATATGAAAAAATGAGAGTATATTTGTCCTGAACTTGATTTTGATCAAACTTGAAACTGAATAGCAGCAAATTTCATTCGTACTACTTCTGTATCTACAAATAGCCCAGCTCCGTTGATTTTTTTTGCGGACATCGCCGAAATGCCTATTATAATATCTTTATTAAAATATAATTTATTTGATGTCAAGTCTTATTTTTTTTTTTTTTTTTTAAATCTGGATATGTACGGTTTGACCTTTGACCGTTATCGGACATAATACAAATTTATCAACTGACACTGTTTAAGTAACGTATATGCAACTTTTTGAAGAATGCTATTTTGTATTTCTATCTTTCCCAAAAAATAACATGATGGCTTTGTATATATGTCTTCATTAGCCAAAAGGCTAAGTGAGTTTTTTCATCACTTGGCGTCCGTCGTCCGTCGTCGTTTTCATCGTTGTCCGTTAACTTTTACAAAAGCCTTCTTTTCTGAAATTACTGGGCCAAATTTAACCAATTTAGCCACAATTATTATTGGGATATTTAGATTATTAAATGTATCCGATGACCCCGCTTGTCACCAAGATTGTCGACATGGCAAAAAATAGAACACAGGGGTAAAATGCAAATTTTGTTTATTATCATGAAAACAGTTATGAATAAAGACAATCTGACAGAGGCAGAAATGTTGAGATCTACCTGCTGATCTTTTATGTCAATAATGTCAGACGACTTCTTATAGGAGTATATAGCCCTTAAATGTCAAAACTTATCGTTTTTTTTTTTCATTTTTGTCTATTATTTTGAAAACTCTAATATATACAGATACATTTCACTTGTTTAAAAATGATTACCAAGACAAGATTTACAAATAAGTCAACTTGGCTGAAATCATCTGACGACTCCTTTTTAGAGTTATTGATCTTAAATGACGAATTTTCCTAATTTGATTTTTGCGTTTTTATCTTATTTCTTAAAAATCATAATAGATAGAAAGAAACTTTAAACTGCAAAAATGATCAACACGTTAAGATCTACAAAATCAGCATGACCGAAATAGTAAGTCGACTCCTTGTTGGAGTTGTTGCCCATTAATGATGATTTTTCCATTTTTAGCAATGGCCCGAAGAGCCCCATGTGAGCTTATGCCATCACTTGGCGTCCGTCGTCGTCCGTCGTCTGTCGTCGTCGTCTGTCGTAAACTATTTAAAAAATCTTCTCCTCTGAAACTACTGGGCCAAATACCTTCAAACTTTAACTAAATGTTCCTTAGGGTATCTAGTTTATAAATTGTATCCGAAGTTTTGATCCATCGACAAACATGGCCGCCATGGCTAAAAATAGAACATAGGGGTCAAATGCAGTTTTTGGCTTATATCTCAAAAACTAAAGCTTTTAGAGCAAATTTGGCATGGGGTAAAATTGTTCAATTGGTCAAGATCTATCAGCTCTGAAATTTTCAGACGAATCGAACAACCCATTGTTGGGTTGCTGCTACCGAATTGGTAGATTTAACAAAATTTTGCAGTTTTTTGTTATTATTTTGAATATTATTATAGATATATATAAACTGTAAGCAGCAATAATGTTCAGCAAAGTAAGATCTACAAAAAATGTTAATATGACCATAATTGTCAATTG